GATTTCCACGCGTTGTTCAAATTCGGTCACCACACACCTTTAAAAAAATTTTCTGTTTTCGATCAGTTTTTTATTGTTTGATAGTTCGTTGGTGAACAGTAGGCGTTGGTGCCGATGGCATCCATCGTTCCGTAAATGATTATTATTCGATATGCACGTTTGTGTGTGTGTCTGTGTCTGTGTCTGTCAGTGTGCCTTAGCATCATCCAGAAGTCGTTTGCTTGACAAATAAGGCTAAGCACCCTCGAGTTAAGAAGATGTAAACCTGATCCCATCGTGCTTCTTTTCAAAATTCGAATGACCGTTTTAATTCGCTCGCTGGCCCACGTGCGATGTTTGCTCAGCTTAATCATGAACAGACGCTCCAACTAGCAGCATATCGACGTGCCGCGTCTCGATCCCATCCCGAAGCTTCATTTGTTCAACTTGTTTTTTAATCTCGCGATCCGATAGCTGGTGAAAGTGAACAGTTACTATGATAACTCAGTGGAAATTCCCTTTCGTATTTCACTTTCTATAAGAGCAATGGGAAGTAGTCACGGGACGATACATTGCCAGTATCAGCCACACGCTGATAGGACTGCTGGGTTCACTCTCTTTCGACAAATCTTCTGAGGTGACCTGATGGCCATCTTGATTTCCAAACTTACTGGTCGTAACTCCCAATCGAAACGGATTACAAAGCGACTGGTTTTCAGCTGACCGACTTAAATTAGTTACTGGAAGATAAGAGTACACACCACTTACTGCCAGGCTGGCCAGCGTATTATATAAAATGAGTGAGAGGGTTTATGTCATATTTACGAAATAAGTTTTTTAGCGATCCTAGATCGTCACATAAAAATCTGCAGGATTCAAGAAAAAATAAATAACCGACTATTTGTGTGTGCTTTGAACAAACCATAAATGCATGCGTGACGCACAACTCTTCTACACACTCATGTTGACTTTTCTGATTCGTTTTAACAGTATGCCTAAGTTTTGGTCCCCGAAAAGTACTACACTGATTTTCGCTCTTCAGAAACTGCTGTAGAAAACTTCAAATAACTTTTTTTTTTCTTAAATTCACGGCAGTCTTTGATCGGAAGCAGATTTTTTAAAATTTCGAAGCTGCCTGAGCTGCATGGTTAGATTCTCGTAAATTTAATCACCATTCATTCAGTTCTTGGAGCGCTTGTCCTTTTACAGTCGAAAGATGCGCCTCAGCGAATTTGGTGGTTTCTTCTAATTTGGCTTTGAAGAGAGCGTATAGCGTAAAAAGATTTCGGACTGGGACTGCACTTCAGGGTTGCGCTAGGTGATGCAAATTTCAGTGCTCTCCTTCCGTTTTGGAAATATCCCGTGCATCCTTCTTACAGTGGCGGACAGTAACGAGAACTGAGCAAAAGTAGCCATCGTATTTCTTCTGAATGATATCCGTCGAAAAGTCACTTTTCGAACATTCACTGAAGAAGTGAGGCACTTTTGTAGCGGATGTGATGAGTGACCAGATAGGGAGCAGTTAGGGGAGATGATCTGGCCTGTTCAGCACACCTAGATAACATTAGGGGGTTTGGAACAACAGTCGATAGGCAGTCTTGGTGCCTTTGAAAAATTTATTTATGGCTAGCAGAGTCGAAGGAAGTGATAAGTGTTGGTGATAAAATCTGTGTTGATGTTTGACGGCGATTGATTGATAATAATAAAATGATAAGAGAGCATACGCAACATCCCTCTTCAGTCTTGTCAGTTTGGATGTTCAGTAGGTTTCATCATACTGGAACTGCTTATTTCTGGAAATCGTTAGATTCGATACTCAGTGGAGGAATTTTGTGCAGTCTGTGCAGCTTTCACTACCACTTTGCAGATGTATAATCAAAAACAGTGAATGTGCTTCCCAAGTACTGCTGTACAAAATGCAGCACATCTTTCACTACCACTTTGCAGATGTATAATCAAAAACAGTGAATGTGCTTCCCAAGTACTGCTGTACAAAATGCAGCACACTTTTCGCAGCATCTCACCATGCTGAAAATAGCGAGGTCTGTATAGCCCCGTACAGCTCCTGGACCACGAAGAACAGTTTCTATGGGTTGAAAGCTTGCACCAGAGTTTGGAAAATA